ATATTCTCTTTGAATAATTTATATTGCACAGTTCTGATCCGAATCTGTTGTATTAAAAGAAATTTTCCATCAAGACAATTTGTTTTAGGAAATATTATTCTATCTGCTTTATATAATTAGGTTATGCTGAAATGGCAACCTCATGCAGAAAATTTCAGTTTATTGAGTGGTTGTGATATCACTAGTAAACGTTAATCATATGTGAGACCTGATAAATCTACTAATTTGACTTATTTGGGACTAAGATCCTGCTTCCAAACTAGTCAAGTCTACGTCTTGTCGCCGCTGGGCAGTTGCAAAGAATATGCTCTGATATTTCCTTCTCCTCATGACAGAATCGACAGAAATCACTTTCTACCGCACCTGAATTCTTCATGTGATAATTGAGTCTCAGTGTCCTGTAAGAAGTTCAGTGTAGATTTTAATATCGTTTCTGCTAAGGTTAAGGATAGCGTCAACTTTGATATGTTCAGTATCAATAATACTTCTTTTTGATTGTGTTTCTCCCATTCACATAATAAGTTATTTGTGAAGCTATTTTTTACCCTGCAAAAGAACAAGGAAAGGAGTACATGTACACCTCTTTGTTAAGGATTCTGATGAGCATCATTGGCCTGATGCCCTTCATATCCCTGTACCCGTATAAGAGTAACATAGTTCCTCGATGCTAGGGTATTGCGAGTTGAAAGCATTTTCAGACCAACTTTCATTGGAATGAAAAGTTTGCTAAAGATTTGAGAGCTGCTTGGCTGTCTGAGAGAATGTATATTTTGGTACCTCAGGTGCCCTTGTCTAGGCACTTTCTCGCACATAGTTCTAAGGCAGGGACCTCTGCCTGTAAAATGGAAGCGATTTTTCCCTATCCTTGAGTAAGAAGTATATAATATTCAAGTGGATTTTCTTTAATATCGAACAGAAACCATTCAGGCTTTCTAATAAAGATCGGAGTGGAAAATTAGTTATGCATGCATATCCTTAGAGCAAAATAAATATTCACTTTAACTTTAAACTCGTATAAGTTGAGCTACAAATATCTAATTGTTTTAATCAGGGATTTTATAGGTTATTAGTCTAATGTGATTTGCAAGTATATTTAAAGTATATATTTGCCTTGCAGCACAAAAGATCAATCTGGTCGCAGTGCTCTACTCCGCTGGGAGCTAGTACTCCGTTCATTCCGACGTATTTGCCAACTGTATATAGGCTGATGTTGTTATGCTACTGATATATTATCATGCTTTCATATTATTCATTAGTCTTGAGGTCTTTAAGAGACCCTTTAATATAGAAATATCGTTGACACAGTATTCAATTATTAATATAAATTGGTTTATATATATTTAAAATTTGATGACATTGATTGTATTGTATGAAAATAAACACATAACGTATGAGTAACCTTATTTTATAGTTCACAAATAAAATTAGCATGTTTTTTATTATTAAATTAAACGTGATTTACACACTTTTTTTTATCAGATTAACAGACATACAGTTCTGCATTAATGTGTATATCTATTTATATATTATTTTCCTAAATGTAGCAAAAATCGGTTTAACCTTTAAGTGGATGTGCAAACAAAATTATACGATATTTTGTCATTTGTTTGTTTTGAAGCGAAAAGGTAATGCGAGCATAAGAGAAGAAAACTCGAAACCAAGGTAAATAATACAAAACAAAAGACGTCATTGAAAGATACAAATAAATAAGTCTTTAAATATTTGCTAAGGCACTGCGTTTTATATGCGCTATGACTGAACCGACTGTACTTCAGGTGTACGATTCCGAAATTTCGGGGGCAATACTTAGAACTCATCGCTTTCGTCGCAACATACGTTTAACTTCCACAGTTCGGATTCAAATATTTTTAGCGATTGTTTAACGATGGATTATCTATTTATTATATTTGTTTTTATCTCTTTATTAAGATCGCCTTTTTGTTTATTTGCGGTTTAATTGTTGCGATTATTTGTACATTAGTGTCATGGTTTATTTTAGACACCGCCGCCACTTTTCTTAGCACTACTTTGACTTATCAGGGCAGTGCTTTAAATATTATCAGGGCAGAACTTAGAAGCATGTACCGTCGGTACAGACAAAAAGTAAATTCTATTTTTAATATTCAAGTGTACTGTAGTTTTATTTCTTAAATATTTTTTTATTTATGTATTAAAAAATTTTAATTAAAAATTAATAAAATAATTTAAAATGAAAATTTTTACCGAAGAAGGATTAAGCAATTTAGTAGTGCTATTTTTGAAAATGTTGAACCCATACGTTTTAGGAAAATGGTAGTCATGACGTTGGTAAAGAAAAATTGTATGTTAGATAAAAAGATATATAACATATAGATATGCCATTATTATTACAAAAACTATTAATAACTATTGCTACGAAAAATGTTGTTTTGGTTTAAAAAAATGTGCAAAACCAACAGAAAATTGGCTTAAAGCTATATTACACATCAAAATAAATCATAATTACAAACCAAATTGAATTGACCTGGCCCAGCTTCAATTTATCTAGAACAACGAATCTACTGAATAGAGTCAATATTGATTAGCAAAACTTGTGGCGAGTGTATTAGGCCACAGATCAGTGGGCTTCTTTGCCGAAATATTGCACATAACTTCCAACCAGAAATGCAAGAGCTGCAAAAGGTAACAGAAGCAAGTCGATACGTTGCCCAACCCCACCCTAACAAACCTTAAGTTCACCTCAGGGTGCACAGAAAGATATGCTGATCTACGGTCCGTCATCAGTTAAAAGTTAATAATTCTAGTATAGTTAAAGCTTAGTGTGGGGCAGGGATAAGCCCCCCGATCATAAAACAGTAAAAGTGCGCAATAGCAATAGCACTAACTCAAATCTTATTTGCAAATGCTGAAGTCTAGCAAAATTAAGAGATTACAGCATATACGAATTAATAAGACCGGAAGACATCTCAAACATAACTTCTCAAGTAATAATCTCATCCGCACAGATTGGTTTTTAAACTTAGATTTTGATGACTGGATGTGTGATAACAAAACGGTTCAATACGTTACTTAGAGAGAAGAGTAAATTGATAAATGATCATAAGGGACCATACATATGTAGATAATATTTTGATAATTATCGAGAAGGTTAGAAAACAATCTATAAAATGCTATCTAAGACTTAGTATTCGCGTTAATGAATATAGAAGACCACATATGTCTTATGGTTAGACCTCTTATTCGATATACGTACATATTTTCGAAATTAAGTTCATATTTGTGATATAAGCATGTACATATATAATGGCTACTTAACAACTATTTAAATGTTAGGTAAGAAATTTAAGTATTTCCGTTAAAAATGCCATTCAAATACTATATCTACACAGAAACATAGAGATCGAACCTCTTTAGCATAATTTTATATAGATTTTGTAAGAAAAATTGCACAATAGTCTGAATATACCATAAAACATATTTAAAGAATAAATGAACTATCAAAATTGTCTATACAAAATCCACACAGAAATGTGCTAATGACATTTGATAATTGCAAGCATAGTGTGATTCATGGAGGTGGTCAAAGGGGGTATATAGATTCAAAAACCTTAATAAATTTAATAGTGTATCTAAATTGATATTGCATATCAATGTGGATAATAATGAATATATCTTTTAAATATTATGATATTATGTGTATAATATAAACTTAGTAACAATTGATATCACTACGTTTAACTATTTTTTAGTTTTAACTTTAAAATATTTATTCAATTTTATATAATTTTTTTCAAAGAAGAATATCGAAATTTTAACAATAAATTTTGGGCTCATCAAAATTAAAATTCACATTTAAGTAAATATTTTTTCATTGTTGCAAAAATGTATTCAGCAATGTCCATCAGAAAGTTTAGAAAAAAACCCAAAAAAAGGCGCTTAAGAAAGTGTGCAAAGAAGTCTTCAAAGGATTCTCTAGAACCATACGCAATTGACCGTCATCCCGAGGAACTACTCGCATGGGTAAACGATAGATTGAAGTCTAATATTCGTAAAATTGAGGAACTATCGAACGGTGCAGCGTACTGCCAACTTATGCATTATCTCTATCCAAAACTCATGGATATGAGGAAGGTAACATTTTACACCAACAATAAATTCGATAG